TTATTTATTTATTTATTTATTTATTATTTTTTTATTGGAGGAGAAGAGGAGGGGAGAAAGGTTGGGGGGTTTGGTTTGGAGGAATGTGTGTGTTTTGTTTTACGTTTTTTGCCTTTTAAATGATATCAGAATATAGAAGCACGTTGGCTTGAGACTTTTATCGACATTTTTGTTTCGTCTCAAAATCTGTCTTCGTTTCTTTTGACGGAACATTTTTTATCTATCAAATTCGAATCAATGATTGTCGTGAGAGAAAAAAAAATTATAATTTATAAATTTATATTTATAGATTTATATTTAAAATGCAGCAAATAAAATAAATATTACGTACAGTCACAGAATTTCGGTTTTTAGTAACGGAATATTGTGAAGCCAAGTATATATATGCCTTTTTTGGCTCTCAAGACGGGAACTTAAAAGGAAAATTGGCACCCTTGTTCTAGATCTTCAGGGTTTCTGTAGTTGATCGAAATACACCAATAGTTAGTTAAAATTTCATGTATTTAGTATTTATTTTTTTTTTTTTTGGAGGTGAAGCTGCGATGAAGTGTTGCTCAGACATGCTGGATTCAACCCGTTGTCACCTTCCAGTCAAATGCATCTTCACCTTCATGAAAAAAGGAAATGTAATTTTTATCTATTTTTTTTACTTTTTCCTTCCCCTCTACCCTTATCTACACGCTCTCCCTCTTCCCCCTTCCTCCTTTTCACCTTTATCTGTTCTCACCTCCCACTCTCGTTTCCACCCAAATCTATGTCACTCTCACCTCCCCCCTCCCCCCTTTCCACCCTTATCAATCCCACTCACCCCTACCTCCATCCTTCTCCCCTGCCCCCCCTCATCTACCCTCTCCCCCTCTCCTCCCTTTTCCCACTCTCCCCCTCATCTACCCCCTCTTCCCTCTCTTCCTCTCCTCCCTTTTCCCCCTCCCCCTCCCCTCTTCCCTCTTCCCTCTCTTCCTCCCCTTTCCCCTCGCCTCCCTTCTCCCCCCCTCTCCCTCCCCTCCCCCCCCTCAGCCGGAAGCCACGAGGCCGCGGGCGAGTCGAGCGGGCCGTCGGTGCGCCACATCCACTCGTGCCTGGCCATGAGGAAGCGCAAGTACCGGAAGGACGAGGAGGCGTCCAAGGAGATGGAGCGGACGATCAAGCAGCATCACGATACGTAAGTTTTTGTTGTTGTTGTTGTTTTAGAAAAGTGAAAATGAATGAATGAATGAAAATGCATTTTTTCTTCGTCGCCCACCGATTGTCCCTCTCCGATGTTTTTTTTTTTCTCTCTCTCATCGTAACCTTCTTCCATTCTCTCTCCGTACCTCATTTCCTTCGCCTGCTCACCCTCCACCTTCCCTTCTCCCACCTATATTCCTCCCTCATTGCCTACGCCTCATTGCCTACGCCTCCCTCCCCCACTGACCCGCCCCCTCCCTCCCCACAGGTCGGACTACGAGCAGATCAGCGTGGCCGTGCGGCCGTGGGTCCGGCTGAACGGCACGCTGAACCGGCGGGTCCTGGACCGCCTGCTGGGGGCCGTGCTCAACCTGGTGATGGAGCGGCCGGGCATCAGCGCCAGGGACATCGTGTGCCGCTTCTCGCCCGCCCTGCAGCCCGCCCACACCCACGACCTGCTCGACACGCTGGTCCAGATCCGCTGCGTCGTGCCCATGCAGCTGCACCGCTCGCACAGGCCCTCGCTCTTCGCGGACACCGTCCAGTACACGCTCGGTGAGGCTCGGGGGGGGGGGGGGGGGGGGTCATGGAGGGAAGGGGAAGGAAGGGGGAGGGTTGTAGGGGTTTTATGGTTTTATTTATTGAAAAATTTCAGTCGCGTTAACATTTAAGGCCAATGGCGGCGTATTCAAAATAAGGTGGGGCTTGAGGGAGAAGCCAGTATTGTGGCGAAAAGTAAAGTAAAGTAAAGAAAAAAATAGTAGTAGTAGTAGTAGTAGTAGTAGTAGTAGTAGTAGTAGTAGTAGTAGTAAACGATTCGAACAAGTGGACAGAACAAAGGATGAAGAGAAGGAAAATGAAAGGGAGAGAAGAAAAGACCAAGCAAAATTAGTTGAGACGAGGGCAAAGGTTCAAGGCAGGGGTGACCCCTACATAGGGCCTCAGTCCCTGCCTCCCCCTCTCCCCCTCTCCCCCCCGCGACAAAAACAACGAGCAAGGGATGGGATGGGGAAGGGAAATCAACTCAGTATAAGTAACTTAATACAAATCTTTCGTTTTCTCCAGAGTCAACGGAACGGGATACTTAAGCAAATAAAAAATATATATATTCAAATTCAACAAAATCAAATTAAACAAAATCAAATTATACAGTAAACAAGAAAAATAATAAATAAATTGAAATCACTCCAATCGCTAATCTATCTCTCTCTCCCCCCTCAGAACCGGCAGATCTTCACGATTGCGAGGACGAAATCCTGTACGAGCCGATGGTCGACGCCATCTTGAAACTGGCCATGTTCATCGGCGACAAGAAATATTCTCAGGATTTCCTTTCTGGGGATCGTAGATGATTTTTCTTTCTGCTTAATGTTGTTAGGTTATTGTATTTATTTGGGGGGGGGAATTTTGTTCTCGAAAACTTCCATTTTCTTATTTGTATTATGTAGTTCTATTGTAATTTTATTATGCATAGTTAAAATAGGTATAAACGTTGTAATTTGTAATCTTTCTGACGAGAGGATTTTTACTTTTCTTCTTCAAGATGTTTAATGGGGATTTTACATTAATTTGTGTATATATTTTCATAGAATCTTCTCTATTATGAGGAATATTATTTTTGTTGTATGTGCGTGTGTATATAATTGTATATATCTTTCTTCCTGGCAGATTATTTGTCTCTTAGTGGACTCCTAGTGGAAGTTTGTGTAATTATAGAGGTGAATATTTTTGATTAATTCTCTATGGCAAGCCTGTAAAAAGACATGGATTTTTTAAAAGAATAAAATTGTAAACCTTGAGAAAGGTTTTGATTAATCCCCTAATATATTTGAAAACGATTCTCTCTCTCAATTAGATTTGAGGTTGTAGCGAATGGTTAATGGTTCATGGTTAATGGTTAAAAGCAAGGTAAATGTGCTAGACATCTAAGGTCATGTAGCACTATAGTTAATGTTAGTGAAAGGTGGTTGAGTTAGTGATTAGTTGTCTAAGCTGGGCAAAGGAATTGGTGAGTCAAAGGGTTACGGTTGGATGTTAGATTAGATAAAGGATATGTATGCGTTTGAGGAAAGAGAACAGGTTGTTGATGCAGAAAGTGTGGGATTCCGTAAGGATGTCTGATAGGTTGGGAGGTCGGTGAAGGGAGGATAGGTGGGGGAAAGCAGAGGTACGGGCTGCTTCAAAACGTGGCACGACAATAGGATGTGTACGATTGAAAGGGGAACATTACATAAGGAACATAGGGGTGGATCAGATTGTGACATCAGATAGGAGTGTGTTAGACGGGTGCGGCCAATGCGTAAGCGGGCGAGAGCGGTCTCCCAACGTCTGTTCCGATGAAATGGAGCTGACCAGGAGGAGATTGATAGTTTTACAGAATGTAATTTATTAGTGTGGAGGCTTGACCAAAAAGATTGCCATCGCTTATACAAGAAGGTCTTAAAGTGTGGGTAATAATCCGTGGCTGGGATACGTGAGAAGCGTGGTTGGTATGATGTGGACATAGCAGCGTGGCGTGCTAGTGTATCTGCCTGTTCATTGCCGGGGATTCCAACATGGCTGGGCACCCAGCAAAATTTGATTGTTTTATGGCGTGTGGACAGGTAGAACAACCAGTTCTGGATCTTACAAACAAGGGGGTTGGTGCTGTGTATTGACTTTATGAGAGTTAATGAGCTACGGGAGTCAGTAAAAATTGTAAAAGAGGAAGAGGAGAGTGAGTATATGTGTTTTAGGGCAAAAAGGAGTGCATACGGTTCTGTAGTAAGGACACTGGATTCAGGAGGGAGTATTTGAAAGTACGAGTTGGGAATATTACTGCAAAACCAGCACCAGAGGTGGATTTGGAGCCATCAGTATATACGTGTATACTAGAGGAATGAGTGGAGACATGGTCAAGGAAATGGATGAGAAGGACAGCAGGAGGAATATTTGATTTTGGTGGGTCGGGGAAAACAGAAGAGCAAATATGGGGTTGAGGTATAAGCCATGGAGGGACGGAATGGACAGAGAACGAGAGAGGTTGGAGATGGGGGAAGGGGGAATGGGAGAGGAGGGTATCCATGCGAGTGGAGAAAGGAGTAGGTAAATGTGGAGATGAAGCTAAGGTATGAAGTAGGGATTGTGGGATAGTTTAGTGAGGGAAAGTTGGTGGAATCGAACATAACATCGGAGAGAGAGAAGGGCACGACGTCGAGATAGAGATGGTATGCCTGATTCAGTACACAGGCTCTCAACTGGAGAGGAGCGGAAGGCGCCTAGTGCTAAGCGAAGACCACAGTGGTGGATTGTGTCAAGATGGGCAAGGAGAGAAGTTGAGACAGAGGAGTAGATATGGCATCCATAATCAAGAGTGGAGAGGATCAAAGTAACATGAAGATGAAGAGTTTTGCGATCTGAGCCCCATGATATATGGGATAGAGATTTTAAAAATTGAAGGCGGCTGAGAGCTTTTTCTTTAATGTGTAGAATATGGTCTCGCCAGGTCAGTTTGGAGACAAAAATGACGCCAAGGAATTTGCCAGAAGAACGAAGAACGGCATTGGAGTGGAGTGCCATATAAGAAGAGTGGGGGTAGGGGACTTACACGTGAGCGAGAGAAAAGGATGGAGAAAGATTTAGAGGTAGAAAAGCGGAAGCCATGGTTTGTGGCCCAAGAAGATACTGATGAGATTGCAGATTGAAGAAATTGGTAGAGATTTAGTATGGATGTGCCAGAGGCATAGATGGTTAAATCATCAACATATAGTGATGACCGGGCTCCTGGTGGTAAAACTGAGATAATATCATTAACAGCTAGAAGGAATAAAGTGGTACTGAGCACACTGCCTTGTGGGACACCTTCGATTTGAGGAAAGAAAGATGATGTAGCAGTAACAATTTTGACCTGAAAAGTGCGTTGGGAGAGGAAAGACTTTATGAAGACACCCATGTTTCCACGTATGCCTAGAGACGTCAATTGTTGGAGAATATGGTATCGCCATGTCGTATCATATGCTTTTTCTAGGTCAAAAAATATATGTCTCAAAATGAGCAAGGGGGTCAGCTGTGCTTCTGGCACGGCGAAAACCGAATTGGGAAGGAGAGAGAAGATTGTGAGATTCAAGATACCACATTAAGCGGAAGTTCACCATTCGCTCTAATAGTTTGCACAAGCAGCTAGTTAGTGCGATGGGGCGATAGTCTTGAGGGAGGGTACCCGATTTATTGGGTTTCAGGAAGGGAAGGATAAGAGCTTCTCGCCAATTAGAAGGAAAATTTCCTGATGTCCATATGTGGTTGTAAATTTTTAATAGGAAGGATAAGGAGGAAGATGGGAGTTGCCGGAGCATACGGTAGTGAATACCGTCAGGGCCTTCATGAGTGCTGCGGCACGATTGTAGGGCAGCAATGAGTTCAGAGGAAGAAAATGGAGCATTATAGGACTCAGCGGAGGATGGGGTAAAGGTAGCCATTCAGGAGATGAAACCTGAAACTTTAAATACCCGCTGGAAAAAAACTAGCAAGAGGCAGTGCACAACCCTACCGGACGCTCTCTTGATGAGATCCATCACTGCGGTAGATGCCGCTGTGAATCTGGGTAAACAGCTTGGGGGAGATGGCTTTAATGATATAACTCCTGATGACATCAATGCCCTTATTGATACCCACTCATCACCGCTGACTGTAATAACTGTAATAACTGTAAAAAATAAAGATTACTTCGCGGATTTCGCCTATTGCGGATTTTTAGAACGTAACCCCCGCGACAAACGAGGGACCACTGTACTTGTCTGCGTATTGTGTAATTGTTGTTTAATACGTGTTGTAATGCCAAGAGTTTTAGTGTAATTGTTTGTGATGAGCCTGGCTGTTGAGGTGTTAATCTTTTCTAATTCCCTAATATTTGTGTGTGTGTGGGGGGGGGGGACACACTGCTGCACAATACTCCAGTGTTGGGCAGACAAGTGTATTGCAGGCTGTATGTTTAGTGTCTTGTGTACAACTGTGTAGGCTCCTCCTCAGGAAACCTGATGTTCTTTTTGCTTAATGTTGTATGTTGTCTATGTGCGAGTTAAACTGTGTTGGCGTGTAGTGATTCCTTGATATTTATGCGATGGTGTATTGGGCAACTGTTGTGAACAGATTGAATGTGGAAATTTAAAGGCGTTTGGGAACGAATGAAATTTACGATTTTGCCTTTGTCTGGCTGAAAGTTCATTTGCCATGCGACTTCCCATTGCTCGGATTCTAGGTCAGTCTGGAGGAGAATATAGTCGTCAGGGGTCTTAATTTGTCGATATCTGAGGCTGTCGCCAACAAAAAGCCTAATCATAGAGTTAGGGGTGGACAGTGGGAGGTTATTTATGTAGAGTAGAAAAGGGAGAGGGCCTAAGACGGTGCCCTGGGGGACACCAGAAGAGACAAATAGAGTTTGTAGTGTCGTCAAGGAAAACAATTAAGTCCTGTTTGAAAGAAAAGCTTTGAAACATTGAAGAGTTTGTCTAGTGATCCCCAGCACAATAGCAGCAATAGAGTGCCGTTGTGGTCTTTTAAGTGCAGCTGCATTGGTGGTGTCCTGTCTGCGTGTCTTGAACTTCAAGAAAGTGTCTAGGGTTGTTTCTTACATTGTCTCCGAGATATTTACTGATATGTTTGCATTTGGCCGTCTTTATGTTTTTGACTTTTTTTTAAGATTTGAGATTGGCCCAATTTCCTGGTGTGTTGGATGACTGCGCGCATCTGTAGTCAATTTTTTCGATGTCTGTGTAAACCTCTGCAGAACCAGGGGAGCATGTACCTACTCGAAGGTGTTGTTTGTGGGACGTGATTTTTGATAGATGTGAGTATGAAAGGCTTCAGGTTATTCCAGTTTTCATCAGGAGGTCGTGAATAGGGGTCAGAAGATAGAAAGTGGTCTCTGTAAGTCGCCATGTCTATTATGATCGAGTCAGTGTCGGCTCTCGAGTAGAGCAAAATAGGTCCACGTCTACGTCCTTAGTCCTGGAACAACCTCGGTGTCTGTTATATGGAGTGTGAGGTTTGTGAGGAAGAGATCTAGCGTGTGGGCAGTGGTTGAAGGGCCTCCGTCGCCAGTAGGGCGTCTGGAGACTTGGGTTCGCGCTGGTTTGAGTACGGTTTGTGTGAGTGTGAATGTATTTATGATGTCAATGAAGGTATCGTGTAACGGGCGCCTGTTCGTGTGGGGGATAGTGGGGTTTGGAATGTGGTCTGTAGGAAGCGGCAAGCAAGAGTGGGAAGGGAGAAGGGGGGAAGAGTGAGGGTTTGGGGAGGATAATCGAGTGATGCAGAGATGTGCATGGGTTGAGGTCGAATGAGTCGTAGGGGCCCGAGAGCAATGGGAGATGGCTCTGAGTGGGAGAGTGAAGTCGAGGGGTATGGGTGTTGAAGGTGTCGAGTGTTTAGATTTGAGATGACAAGTATCACAACACGTAAGGGGTGGAGTATGTACGAGTGAGGGGTTCCTGGGAGGGAGGTGTTGTGCGAAAGGGTTGTTTATGTTGTGTTCATTAAGTGTGTCAGAGGAGTTAAAAAGTTGGATGGGGGAAGAGAGGAGAGAGTCTCATTGTTACTAGAACCACACCTACTGTTAACTAATCCATTGTATATCTATGTAAACGATCCGATGCAGCGGACATGGTACCAGCCAGCATGTTCGTACCTATTACAATAAGATATCACACTAGATGGCCCTTTACCCCCATTCCACCGCTTTTATCCATAGGAAACCTTGGTTGGTAAGGTCCAGGGTCAACCATAGCAGCAGTGCCTCCACAGAGAAGCAGAAGGATGGGGTG